TCCAGGGACAACTGAACCTTTCAGAGCCTCTTCAGTTTGATGACTGCCTGGCAATGCCTGTGGGTAGAATATACTGTACTTTTCTCCAAGTGAGTAGGAACTTGGAGGGACTGTAGGTATGCCAGTCTTCTGATCACCAAGTCCAGGAACAGTTGAAACTTTTAGAGCCTCTGCAGTTAGATGATTGTCTGTCAAGGCCTGTGGGTAGAAAATACTTGGCTTCCCTCTTTGTGAGGAGGAACTAAAGGGCAATGATGCTATACCAGTCTTCTGGTCAGCTAGTTCAGGAACTGCTGAAACTTTTAGAGTCTCTTCAATTAGATGACCATCTGCCAATGCCTGTTGGTTGAGAATATCAGTATACTGACCAATAGTCTTCACTTGAGGAGACCTTACAGCCAACCGAGGAAAGTCTTCAGGGGACAAGGATAAATGAGATCCAATGTCTGAATCTTCAGGAGTGGTAGTGATACCTGGTTTCAAGTTGGGTTGAGGAATTTCAGCTATGCCTCCTTTGGAAGTATCTCCTTAAGAAAAAGAGATTTGTTAATGTTGTTAATACACACACACACACACAGACATTTTGAATTTTAAAAATATCTCTTTTATACACTAAAAGAAATACAGTAAGCTTTCCTTTCTTGGGCCTTTATACTTCTACAAAGGAATCCTAAGGAAATACTCATCAGAAGAAATAAAAATTTACAGACAAAGATATTAAATACAAAGCAATTTGTAAGAGCAAATTAATATAGAAATAATTTAAATATTCAACAAGAGCAATTAAAAAATAAGTATATATATTTGATGGCACATTATATGGATCTTGAAATTTGGATTTTAAATACTTTTCTGTGTGATGAAAAAATCCTGTCTACCATGGAGTTTGATCTCACCCTACTAATAAGGCTAATAATGAAGGCTGTTATTGTGTTGTGTATGTTGGCAGAAGACACGAGGCTCTTCAGAGACAGAGTACTTTATTCCATGGCATAGCAAAGGATCATCAGCTTATTTTCATGAAACCCTCTTTCCCCCAAGTCATATATGAAGGCAAAGCAGTACAGCCCTGATGGAGGTATGCACGCCTTAGGTATAACAGACTCTCCTAATAAGCACATCCTGAATAAGATATGTATTTTTAATTACATGAAACTGCAAAGACTCTAAAGTTTACACTAAGAAGTTTGAAACTAATTCTACATAGTATGGGAAGTTGTTCACAGATTTGATCAGAACTATACTGCAGAAATACAGATTCAAGATGAGTGGAAGGGAATGCAAAAGTGTAAGTAGCACTATCTAAAAGAACCTTCTGTAACAATGGCAATGTTCTGTATTTCTACTAATACAGTAATTCTAAATAAAAGTAGTTCTAAATAGCAGTGGAAAGTAAATGACTGCAATAGAAATGACAAGTTTTAGCAAGTAATGCACTCATTCATTTACTGATTCAAAAAAATGAATTTTGACTATGTGCCAGTCACTGTTATTGATATAGGAAATACACAGACAAAGTTTACATTCTAATTCTGCCTCACAAAGCTTATTCTAATAGCCTCGAGGAAGCAGGCAATAAAAAAAACTGGTAAAACATATGGTATGTCAGATGGTGATAGGATGGTTAACATATACAGCAAGTATTATCTATATTTTACATATAGGGAAATTAAGTTTCAGAGATGATGATATAACAGTCCTTCTCAGTGTGGAGACCTTGTTAACTTGCAGATTCTGGTAAGTAAGTAGGTCTTGGGGTGGGATCTGAAATGCCACATTTCTAACAAGCCTTCTGGTACTGTTCAATACTATTGGTCCTCAGACTACATTTTGAGCAGTCAAAATATATAATTTTTCTAGAGTTGTACATTGAGTAAATGACAAAAACAGGCATTTTCACCTTTTAATTCTAACTTCAAAGTCTGACCTCTTTCACTACAACTGACTGTCATTTTAAACCCACTGGTGGGCTTCAAAACAGCTGAATGAATATAGGATGAAACAGTCTGAGAAGTGATTTTAAGGTAAAGAAGTAGAGTACCAAGTCATAACTACTAACTCTTCAAGAAAACTAGAAGAGAAGGGAGAATGTAACCTGCATAGTAACTTGAGAAGGAATATGGGTTATAGAAACTTTTGAGGAAAAAGAACAGCTCGAGAAATTAATAAATCAACACAGATGACAAACTGAACAACAAACAGGTCAAAGGAAAAATTAAGAGGAAATAAATACCTGGAGACAAATGAAAATGGAAATACAACATACTAAAACTTAGGGGATGCAGCAAATGCAGTTTAAACAGGAAAGTTGTAGTGATAACTGTCTACATCAAGAAATAAGAAAAACCTCAAATGCACAACCTAACTTTACAGCTCAAAGACCTAGAAAGAGAAGAACAAGCAAAGCCCAAAGTCAATAGAGGAAATAACAAAGATCAGACTGGAAATAAGTGAAATAGAGAGTAAAAAGACAATATAAAGATTAGTGAAATTAAGAGCTGGTTCTTTAAAAAGATAAATAAAATTGACAGTCCTTTAGCTAGACTCATGAGGAAAAAAAGGACTCAAACTCAGAAATGAAAGCAATGTTACAAATAATACCATAGCAATAATAAGGATAAGAGACTACTGTGAACAATTACAGGCCAGTAAATTTGACAACCTAGAAGAAATGGATAAATTCCTAGAAACATACAACCTACCAAGTCTCAGTCATGGAGAAACAGGAAATCTGAACAGACTAGTAAGGAGATTGAATCAGTACCCAAAATGTCCCAGCAAACATCCATGACCAGATGGTTTCCCTGCTGAATCCTACAAGACATTCAAAGAATTAATACCAATCCTTATCAAAATTTTCTAAAAAATAGAAGATAAGGGAACATTTCCAAACTCATTTTACAAAGCCAGCATTATCCTGATAGGAAAACCAGCAAGGACATTATAAGGAAAGAAAATAACAGGCCAATATTCCTGATGAATACAGATGTAAAAATCCTCAACAAAATATTAGCAAACCAAATTCACTAATACGTTAAAGGAGTCGTACACATGGATCAAGTAGGAATTATTTCAGGGATGCAAGGATGGTTCAACAACCACAAGTTAATCAATGAGATACATCTTGTTAACAAAATGAAGGTTAAAAATCATAGGATCATCTTAATAGATGCAGAAAAAGCATCTGACAAGATTTACCATCCACTTATGGTAGAAACTCTCAAGAAAAGGGATACAGAGGGAATGTAATTCAACATAATAAATGCCATATATGACAGGCACACAGCTAACATCATACTCAATGGAGAAAAGCTAAAAGCTTTTCCTTTAAGATCAGAAAAAAGACAAGGATGCCCACTCTTACTACTTATACTCAGCATAGTATTAGAAGTCCTAGTCAGAGAAATTAGGCAAGAAAAAGAAAAAAGGCATCCAAGGTGGAAATCAAGAAGTTAAACTGTCTCTATTTGCAGATGACATGATACTACATATAGAAAATTCTAAAGACTCCATCAAAACCTGAATTTAGTAAAGCTGCAGGATATCAAATCAATATGCCAAAAAGTTGCATCTCTATGCATTAATGATAAATGATCAGAAAAAGAAATTAAGACAACAATCCCGTTTACAAGCACATCAAAAAGAGTAAAATACCTAGGAATAAATTTAACCAACGAGGTGAAAGCAAGTAACTGAAAACTATAAGACCCAGTTGAAATAAGTGGGAAAAGATAAAAAGAAATGGAAAACATAGTCTCTGCTTATGGATTAGAAGAATTAACACTGCTAAAATGTCCATATTACCTAAAGTAACCTACAGATTCAATGCAGTCCCTATAAGAATATCAGTGGCATTTTTCACAGAAATAGAAGAAACAATCCTAAAACTTGTATGAAACCACAGAGGACCCTGAATGTCCAAAGCAATCTCCAGAAATAAGAACAAAAAGCTAGAGGTCTCACACTCCTTAATTTCAGATTTTCAAATAGTCATCAAAAGAGCATGACATTGGCAGAAAAACAGATACACAGATCACTGCAACAAAATTGAGAGTCCATGCTACACTTATATTGAGAATTACTGTAAGACAAACGAGCAAAAAACATACCATGGAGAAAGGACAGTCTGCGCTGTAACTGGTGTTCGGAAAACTGGACAGCAACATGCAAAAGAATGAAACTAGACCACCATCTAACACTATACACAAAAAGTAACTCAAAATGTATTTAAGGCTTCAATGTAAGACCTGAAACCATAAAATTCCGAGAAGAACACATAGGCAGTATACTCTTTGCCACCATTCTTAGCACTATCTTTCTGGTTATGTCTCCTTAGGCAAGGGAAACAAAAGCAAAAATAAACAAGAGGAACTACATCAAACTAAAGAGTTTCTGCACCATAAAGGAAACCATCAACAAAGTGAAGAGACAACCTACCACATAGGTGAAGATATTTGCAAATCAAATTCACTAAGACTCTAATATCCAAGATATGTAAAGAACTTATACTACTCAACAACAAGAAAAAACAACCCGATTAAAAAACGGACAGAGGACCTGAACAGACACTTTTCCAAAGAAGACATACATATGGCTAACCAATACATGAAAAGATGTTCAACATCATTAGTTACTAGGCAAATACAAATCAAAACCACAATGAGACTATCACTTTACATTTGTTGAAACAGCTATTATTCAAAAGGCAAGAAATAACAAGTGTTGGCGAGGATGTGGAGAAAAGGAGACTCTTGTGCACTGTTGGTGGGAATGTAACTTCGTGCAGCCACTATGGAAAACAGTATGGTGATTCCTTAAAAAACTAAAAATAGACTTACCATACGATCCAGCAATCCCACTCCAGGGCATGTATCTGGATAAAATTCTAATTCGAAAAGATACATGCACCCCAGTGTTCACAGCAGCACTATTTACAATAGCCAAGACATGGAAACAACCTTACATGTCCATCGACAGATGGTTGGATAAAGAAGATGTGACACACACGCCTATGTGTGTCCGGGGATACTCAGCCATAAAAAGGAATGAAATAACGCCACTGGCAGCATGCTAAATGAAGTTAGTCAGAGAAAGAGAAACATCATATGATATCACTTATATGTGGAATGTAAATAATCTCCCCAGCTGGTAGGGGAACGAAACCTATCTGGTTGAGGACTAGGTAGATTGCAGCTCGGTCTGATTAACGGGAGAACTAGCCAGGTGGGGAGCCTTTACCTCTGGGTGGAGGGCATAGCTGGCCAGAGCAACAAAACTCGTGGTAAGGCCTTCTGTGGCCCTCGAGATTCAGATGTCAAGACTGCACATAATACTGAATCTAATTTTAGGCCTTACAGCACAATACTATCATTCAGGAGCTTAGGGTCTTTTGGGAAGAATGAGATGTAACCAAGCAATTAAATTGGTACAATTAGACACATCAATAGAAATAATGGTGGGGAGGGGATAGCTCAGTGGCAGAGAGTGTGCTTAGCATACACAAGGTCCTGCTCAATCCCCAGCACCT